TCGCTTCAAAACTATATAAGAAACATAAGAAAATCCGACTTTCAATCATTTGTTAATGAAATCTCGGAAAGCCCAAAATATAAACAGATAAAACGAACTGGCAACACATGCTCTGAAAAAGAAGACAAACAGTTTTTACATGTAATTAAAAGTACGTCATCTACAATAGCAGTCCCTCCCAACCCAAACAGGCTTCAGGAATTTAATGTCCGAAATCCTTTTGAATTAGGTGACTTTTTGGAATTTATAGCATCAAGAAAGCCTGACTAAGCAAGGGGACTAGACAAGTTATCGTATCGAATGATACAAATGCTCTCTTCTGCAAAGAAATCCGAATTATTTAATCTTATTAACAATGTATGGCTGTCAGGCCAAATACCAGAAAGCTGGAGGGAGATAAACGTGGTACCAATTCCAAAAAGAAATGTAGACTCATCAATTATAGATAACTTGCTTGCTAAGTGTACTTTTTAAGATAACAGAGGGTCTTATTAAACTCAAGTTAGATCACCACATCTCACAAAATAGGCTGCTTCCGAACAGATTTAGGAAACACAGATCCACATCTATGTGCATAAATGATCTAATAAACAAAGTGCAAGCATTAAAAGCAGAAGGACTTCAGGTAGTGGCAGCATGTTTAGATCTGCAAAAAGTCTTTGATTGTGTCGATATAGGAATCTTAGAGACCAAACTCCAAAATCTCAACTTCAATCAACACCACGTTGCCTGGTCAACTGACTTCCTTAGGAAGCGACTTCTTGTCAAGGGGAAAAGTCGCCTTGAAGTTAAAAGAGGAGTCTACCAAGGTAGTTGCCTAAGCCCCACTTTGTTTAATTTATACACTGCAAATCTTCACAGTCTGAATGACGAAAACTGCGAAATGCTTTAATACGCAGACGACTTCTTTCTGGTTTGCTTCGATGCTACCTTTTCAGGAGCAAGGCATATACTTTTAGAAAAAAATAGCCGAGTTTGAAATAGAGTGTAGTGAGCTAAATTTATCCTTTAATCCGTTTAAGTTCAGCGTTATTCGCTTTAATCTGCGCAAACAGTCGCTTCAAGTTTTGTATAAGGGAATTCCAATTAAATATGTAGTGCAAATTAAATATCTAGGACGAATAGTAGCCGCTAATAATTCTCTATGCGCACACATTGAACAGGCAATATCATCAGCCAAAAAAACATGTGTATTTCTAAAATTGCTTAGTGGATGCACTTTCGGGGTAAGTCCCAGGAAAGGACTTTTGCTTTACAAAGAGTAGGCTAAAATATGCATGTTTTTTTTATTTAGCAAAATGTCCAAAACAGCTATGGATAAAATAAAAGTACAAACCAATTTAGCCGCGTACTCGGCTTAATAAAGTGTACAACGGTACCGATCTTATATCACATGGTAGCGGAGCTTCCGCCCGAGTACGGAATTTGTTCTAAACTGTGATCCATTACCTGTACATAATAGTAAAATAAGGGTAGACCAAGATTTCTTTAAGGGAACAGCCAAAAACAAATGTGATATGAATACAGCTAGTATTTCACAAATATTTGAGGAAAAAATTAGATCTCTGAGGAATAGGGACTTTGACATCATTTTCACAGACGGGTCAGTAACAGACAGGTATTCAAGCGCAGCGTTTCTAGCTAGTAAAATAGTAAATAGATTTTGTCGTCTCTATCGGCCGAACTGCTAGCGATTGATAACGCCCTCGACCATGTCGTTTCGGTGGGCATAACTCACGTAGCCTTCTTGATGGATAGCAGAAACAGCGCAATTGCAATTCTTAATTCCAGTCACGACAACTACAAATACAACTATACAAGACAAAATTACCCAATACTGAAAAAATTACACGACGTTTACAATTTCTTTAAACACGAACCAACAAACTCATGCCAAATTATAATTTAATATCTCGAATAAATTAAGATAAGCATCTGAATAACCAACCAGTAACCAAACCAGCTTAGCGGCCAAATACTCACGGGTGCCGCAGCAACAACAAAAAAAAGACATTTGGACGAAATTGGTGGCTTTGGTGTCACTGCCACAACGCAACCACCCTTTCTTGGGTTCCCCAAGGTTAATGTTGGAGACACACCCCATCTCCGGCAGACTGGAGTCTATTTCTGATGGATTATGATCGGCTCATCTCCCCGCCCAAGGCAACTTACACAAACATTTCAGAAGTTTGTTTAAATGAAATTTCGGGCAAGATTAATTATGAAATACATTCAGGTTTAATTCTTACTCACTTAACACTTAAGGCCGATTGTAGACCAAGATGAGAAGTGGTCAAAGCGGCAACAAATCAAGGGAAATTTTTAGACAATTAAAAAAATTATAAGTGTTTGGCAAAACAGCCAAGGAATTAAAAATACGGCACCAATTCGGAATCGTTTGAGGAGCTCCAGGGGAAAAGAAGGGACGTGCTGCAAAAAGGTAAGTATGCTAAACAGATCCCATTCATCGTTAAATTTCGCGACACAATTAGGTTATGGTTGGATGCGCGGCTATCGTGCGGAATTAAGCTTCTAATTCCAGATTAGAATTTTCGTTCCGAAACGGACTCACGCTGGGAATCACCCAATGTGGCCGTCACTGAGGCCGCTGTTGAAGTTTGCTGCTGCGGATCGCTGCTGACCGCTGCTGCTGCTGCGGATCGCTGCTGATGCTGCTGCGGTCCGTCAGGTAAGTATTCTCTGTTCACGAGTCTCCTAAACTTCCGAGGCCCTTTAGATATGGCCCCCTGTGGTTTAACTTATATATTTTAACTCCTAAATTTAAATCGTTAGATTCTCTCCAACTATCAACAGTATTTTTTTTTCTTTATAAGATCTTTTTTCTTTTATAAGTCGCGAAAGAAAACGAGAAATAGATTGAATTTTTTTTAATATTTTAATGTCTTGTTCAATTGTTTGATTTAAATTATAGCTCGCAAATAACTGTTAATAGAGTATTTCCACGGAGATTCATCCACCTTCCACCATCCGTTGACGGGATGGTCCATAAGGTTTTGCAGTTCCAAAAACTTCCCAGTTAGTCAGTAGTTTCCAAAGTTTCTGCGGTGCAGTCCTATTTCCACGCAGTCCATTCCTAAAAAACCGTTTGAATATTTGAAAAAAGTAAAACTCCGGTTTCCATAGAGCTGATCTTAACAGCTTTAGCTGATCAAAATATAAACAAATATGGTTGACCTGTTGACTTTGTTTACGTTTTGTCGAGCTGATCTGCTGAAATCGGAAGGTGGTGGATGTGCTCTGTAGAAACCGGAGTTTCCCATTTGTTGAAAATTCCAACCGTTTCTAACGGTTGGACTGTGTCGAAAGAGGCCATAAGCGATTCGTTGCAAAATAAGTGTTTTGCACTCAGACTTTGAGCAAAAAGTACAAGAGCAACCGATTGCATTGTTCATATAAATATTTGTCCGCGGTCAACCGACGAGCAGATTTTTCCGTTATATTTTGCTCTGACCATTCCCGGACCGTTTGCTGTTGAACGACGATTCAAGAAGTGTCTTTGCGTCACTTGCCCTTGTGAATTTCGATTGAGACCGTTTGCGCTGACTTTTTCAGTCAATCTGCTTCTAGTAAGTCTCAATGTGCGAGCATCACTTGATTTTCTCATCGTGCAATGTTTGTTAAGAGAGCGTCTCACGAAATCCAAACGAAAAGAAAAGAAATCTGCTGCTCAGAAAGCAAACAAAGGAAGATCCTGTTTTTTTTTATTTGCGAGCAGAGCGTAGGGAAAAACACGGTCAACAGTTATTTGCGAGCTTTGGTTTTAATACAATAAAAAGTACAAGTATAATAAGAAAATTGTTTATATATCAGAAAATTCTGCAATATCGCACCCAACAGATTTCGTTGACTTTTTGTTTTTTGTAAAACTCCAGCCATGATGCTGAGGCTGTGCATGTTTACCAGATTGTGCAACATTGTGTTGAACATTGGGAAACCGACGAAACCTTGCCATAAGATGTCCGAATTCGTTTTCAGTTACTCGTCTTTCTATGACTTATGATATTTAAATACTAAAGCTGTAGTTAAGAACAGCAAAATTAAAGTTTGGAATTACTTATAGCCTGATTCTTTTGGCGCATTATGCCAGCTTTCCACACAGTACATCCGTTGGAAACGGTTGGAAATTTGAACAAATGTGAAACTCTGCAGCCCTGAAAAACCTATAGATTTTGAAAAGTTTGAAACTCCGGTTTCAACAGAGCACATCCAACTTCCGATTTCAGTTGATCTGAACAGCTGTGGCTCATGAAAATATAAACAAAGATGGCTGACTTGTTGACTTTTTTTACGTTTTGACGAGCCACAGCTGTTCAAATCAGCTGAAATTGGATGGTGGATGTGCTCTAAGGAAATCTTCCAAGGGATGGACTGTGTGGAAGGAGGGTACTCAGGGTGAATTTAATTATGGTTTGAGCGCTCGGGTTAAAAAGGCAGTGTAAGCTTGAATTTTATTTATTCACCGGTTTCCCATCGCTCCATCAAGCCATTCTGTGGTGTGAATGATAATAGCGTATTTCCACAGAGATCCATCAACCTTCCACCATCCGTTCCAAAATCTTCCCAGTTAGTCCGCCGTTAATATATGCGATAGTTAGCCGTTGTTTCTGCGGTGCTGTCCTATTTCCACGCAGTCCATCCCTTGTGATATTGGAAAAAAGTGAAACTCTGGTTTCCACAGAGCACATCCACATTGCGATTTCAACTGATCTTAACAGCTGTATTGCATCAAAACATAAACAAAGATGGTTGACCTGTTGACTTTGTTTAAGTTTTGTCGAGTCGCAGCTGATCAGATCAGCTAAAATCGGGAGGTGAAAGGTGGATGTGCCCTGTTGGAACCGAAATTTCTCATATGTTGCAAATTCCAACCGGATGGTCTGTGTGGAAAGAGGGCATAAAAGAAAGTACAGGAAGTGCATAAAAGATCGATTGTTTCGTATTGCTACCTTGGCATCAGATGTTATCGATAGTTTACTATAAAAATAAACATTTTCGGGAGATGAAGCATGAGACGAAGCCGACACCAACTTAAACAAACTAAGATCTATTAATGCATTAAAATGTTCTATGAACACATTATTTTGGCCAAGAAAGGCCCGTTGGCTAGAATCTGGTTAGCAGCACATTGGGACAAAAAGATTACAAAAGCCCATGTGTTTGAAACTAACATTGAAAAATCGGTTGAAGGCATTTTGCAGCCTAAAGTAAAATTGGCGCTAAGGACGTCTGGCCATTTGCTGCTGGGAGTTGTGCGCATTTATTCAAGAAAAGCTAAATATTTATTAGCTGATTGCAATGAAGCATTTGTTAAGATTAAGGTATGTTCCATTTGAAATGAAATACGTACGTACATAATGATTCTGTTTGTAGATGGCTTTTCGACCAGGCATGGTCGACCTACCAGAAGGTCACAGAGAAGCGAATGTTAATGCGATAACACTGCCTGAAGTTTTTCATGACTTTGATACGGCGTTGCCCGAACTAAACGATATAGATATTGAAGCACAATTTTCTATTAACCAATCCAGAGCAGACGAGATAACAATGAGAGAAGATTACGGCAGCTTGTCGCTCTCCCTTCAGGATGACGGCTTTGGTGATATTGGTTTTGAAGCAGAAACGCCAGAAATTATGCGAGGATCCATACCGTCAAATATCAATGTAAGTTTATATTTTAATATATAAAGACTAAAAAGTTTTTTCAAATTCCTCTTGAACATTGCTTTGCGTTTTGCTCCAGGTGTTGCAAAACGGAAGCTTTTGGCTTTTTGAAATGGGCAAAATGTTCTTCTTGTTCGGAAAAGAATGGGCTTCGGTCTTAGCTGAGCTCTACCTAAATGTATTACCAGTCGGCACCCACGATTGCACTTGATAAGCTTTACTTTTGTGACCCTACTTTGTTAAGTTAATAGTGGTTGTTTTATATTCGCCTATAAGCCAAATTTGCAATATTGTTGCCGTTTTTCGCTTTAAGAAAATAATGTCAAAATTTAAGGGATTTCGAAGGGTGAAAAAGTCAAACGAATTTAGATAAAGCTTTGCTATGGTTAAGTACCACATTTATTTTTAACCCAACATGTTGATGGAGTCTTTAAAGCTAAATTAGAAATCTACGTTTAAGATTTTAAAGACTCCTTTATTTTTAAAATATTTATTTTTCTCGCTCGTTTTGGGCTCTGCGTGAGCCTTGCGGTGTTTTTGCATAATAATTTCAAAAAAATTGTCTTAAATTAGTTTTTCATTATTATTTAAAATATATTTAGTGACCATTTTTCTTTCTTTCTCTTGCAAACATTTTATTATATTACAAAGGTTGCCGTTCGAAGAAACTTTTTTAGACATACGGCTGCGGTCAAAATAATAGTGTGCTACTATAGCCCCTCATCTTAAAATGTTTTGTAATTGTGGTTAACATTTTTTTTGTCCTATAATATAACTTTTATAAAAAAAATGAGTAAATGTTGGACATTTAGTTAAAATACACATGTTTCGAGACTTTTTTGCGTAAAGCTGATAAATACATGGATCCTGAAAGTTTGAAAATTAACGAATCGTTTGTAGTTTATTTTGTTGAAATCAATAATTTTTTGAAATGAGGACTAATTTCACCCGGTCAAAATAAAAGTAGTGCTATAATGACAAAACTTAAATATATTTGAATAATTTATTTTCCAAATGTTTTTTTGGGTTTATTTATTCCGATTTTTGTCGATTATTTTAAACTGTCTTTAGACCGTTATTTTATATGGTCAATAAACTCTGAACGTCATTTAAGTCAAAAGAGGTAAAATGTGGAACAATTTGTGCAACAAATGTTTGAATTGTGGCTGTTTCTGAATGTTTTAGATGTTGATTTACAAATTACTTTAGGTTTCTTATTAAACTCATGTCCATTAAATGACCCAAATGAAATTTTCTTGACTCTTTTAAAAATGAAATTTATTGACCTCTTACGTGAAGATCGCACATTTAACATAATAAAATAAAGTATATAAAATGTTGTGAAGGAAAACGAAATAAATACGCTTTTTTAAAAATTTTGCGAACGGCAGGCCCCCGAGGTTCTCAGCAGCAGGGCCCGGCGCTTCGTGTGCATTCGGGGTTTTTGCTCTTTCATTCTTTTTCTCATTTTTAAGCTCGCGGACTCATTGCACGAGTTCGATCGTTCTGTCGCAAAGAGGCGCATTTTGAAGAAAGCTTCCCCCGCGCTTGAATTGGTCTTTGTATGTATGCGTACTTTTCAAACTAGGTACCCTAAGAATTTGGGCGTTTTTTACTATTGGGTTATGATAAAAATATGAATATTATATTTTATAATATATTTTTTAATATTTCAGCATACATTTTGTATAGATTAACAATAACTTTTGACTAAAATTTGTGTGTCTACCGATGGATATCACTGAAACACACACACATAGTCCAAAAACTAATGTCTAACATGACAGACTTTCGCGTTTTTAGCGGTAGAGTGGACGTGAATATGGGAATTTGAACCGTCGTCGCATGCAGACATATAATTATGCTCCGGGAAAAGTATTCAATAAAATCATAAAAGTGCAGTGATTGGTTTAATAAATCTACTATTATGATGAAGTCACGAATGTTTATATGTCAACTAACTATAAAACTTAACACTTAAAACTCAAATTAACTTAACCTCGATTACAATAAGTCTGTTCGCACACAACGTCATCGTGAGCAAGTCGAGAGTCAAGAGAAGTAACGCGTACTTCTCTTTTAAATCAACCAAAAATAATGCAAGCTCTGATCAAGCGCGGTCAAATACCTCCAACTTGACCGAATTCTCCCTCGCTACCATCGATGTCTCTGCAGCCAAAGAGCTCTGAATGTGTTCCAATACTGGTATGCAATGACCTACGCTCTAGCACCACAATTTTATTAGCAACGTCAACTGTAACAACAGCAACAACTGCAACTGTAATCGACTGCGCGTTTAACGCATCATCAGCAACTTTGTCAACAAAATCTAGCATCGCAAATATTAATACGTCAAAACAAAACAATGAATATGTTTAGCCGGCTGTGCAGATTGGTATGGATCTCTACATCCAAATCAAAAGGAAGCTGAGCCCTCTAAATTAACAACACAATATAACCCGAGGTAATGCTAGCCTAGCTGCAACAGAAACGCCCATACAAACCGTTTTAAAATATTGGCAGACGCCTTTGACGTTGAGGGGGCCGAATCTACTTAAGTCGAAAAAGGGAAGTCAAAGCCTCCGCCTATTTATATTTGAGAAAAAGTTCCAATGCTTTTGTCAACAAAGTTATCGAGCTTATTGGAAAAGATAACTTCCACATAATACCTTTACAAGCTAAAGGGAAATATTCAAGAAACAAAAGTTCAAATGAGGTCTGAAGATAATTACAGAGTATTATCGAAATATCTTACCGAGAATAAAAATAACTTTTACACACAGCTAAAAAGCAGCAAGGGCCTGCAAGTCGTACTTAAGGGCATATAGCCCGACGCAACGCCTACAGAGATAAAAATGGCGCTACAAGAGAAGGGACTTATCGCTAAGACAGTCTTCAATATCCTTAACAGGGATAGAAAGCTGCAGTCACTCTTTAAAGTAGAGTTCGCACCAAAAAATAAGCACCTAAAGAAATACGAAGTGCACCCTTTATATAATCTTTACTTCCTTCTGCACCGCAGGATTGGCGGACCGCACAAAAGCAATGGCCCGGTACAATGTGCGAACTGCCAAGAATGTGGCCATACTGTAAACTGCGCCCGGTGTGTGTAGTTTGTGGAATGCTTCATCACTCTGCACTCTGCCCAGCGAACAAAAATGACTGCGGTGGCAATCACACTGCTAACTACAGAGGTTGCCCAGTTTATAAGGAGCTGTAAAGTAAGGAACTGAAAAGCAGACAAAAAGCAATTTAGAAGCTATGATATGCAGCCTACACCAAAACCTTACGGAGTTTGTCGTTTATGCGCACAACTATGCAAGATTTAATGCGAAACCAAAATCTATTGATTCAAATGCTGGTTTCACAACAACCCAAACAATTACTTCCCTACGGATATCTACGTGGAACGCTAACGGCGTTTCACAACACAAACTTGAGTTAGCTCAATTCCTACTTGACAATCATATCGACGTAATGCTGCTTTCAGAAACACGCCTCACAAACAAATACAATTTTAAAAAACGACGCTATTGATTCTACGGAACAAATCATCCAGATGGTAAGGATGGGACTGAAATTCTAATCGGAGGCCGTATTAAGTACCACTATCATACCAAATTTGCTAAAAACTACCTACATCTATAAATATACAACTAAATACTGGCAACGTATACTGGCAATGTACACTCGCTTCACTATAGCTGAAGATGAGTTTATGCAATTTTTCAATTCACTAGGAGATTACTTCATAGCAGGACAATGGCTAGCACACACACTGGGGTTCTCGTCTTATGACTCCAAAAGAAAAACAGTTCTACAATGCAATTATAAAAGCAGAGAACAAGCTCGACTATGTTTCTTTTGGTAGACCAACATACTGGCCGGCAGACCCAAAGAAACTGCCCGTTTTAATAGACTTTGCGTGTAGCAAAAATATTCATAAAAATCTGATAAGCTGCGAATGCCTTTCAAATCTTTCATCTGATCACTCACCTGTCCTGTTCATTTTACTTTGAGATCCAGGAACATTGGAACAATCGTTTAAATTGACTTCACAGAAAACCAGGAAATATATAAGCTCACACATTGAGCTAAGTCCTCATATCATCTATGAAGCCAACGTACACAGCCTTGTTAATACACTGAAGTCTCTACTCGTTTCTGCAGCTGATGATTTGCAGCTTAATTATTCAATAGTTTCTGTGGCAGCTTTCTGATATCGTTTTCCGATTTTAATAAAAACAAGAAAGGAAGCAAACTTCGGCTAGCCGAAGTTCATATACCCTTGCAGCTATTGCAAAAATTAAATATTTTTTAAAGCATTAAAATTATGATTTATAGTTAGTTATAGTTATAGTTATTTTATATATTTTTATTATTTCTATGAGAGCTATATGATATAGTCGTCCGATTTTGATGAAATTTAAACCGTATTTCTGAAATATTTAACCAGTACTATATGTCGAAGAACTAATAGAAAAATTTAAAAACAGCAAAGTTATAATTTTTTTTGTATTTTTTTTCCGATTGTTCCTATGGGAGCTATATGATATAGTCGTCCGATTTTGATGAAATTTAAATTGTAATTCTGAAATAGTTAACCATTACTATATGTTGAAGAACTAAAAAAAAAAATTAAAAAACAGCAAAGTTATAATTTTTGTTTATTTATTTTTTCGATTGTTCCTATGGGAGCTATATGCTATAGTCGTCCGATCCGGCTCGTTCCGACTCATATACTACCTGCAATAGAAAGACAACTTTTGGTAGAGTTTCATGCAGATAGCTTCAAAACTGAGAGACTAGTTTGCGTAGAAACGGACGGACAGACGGACATGGCTAGATCGACTCGCCTAGTGATGCTGATCAAGAATATATATACTTTATAGGGTCGGAGATGTCTCCTTCACTGCGTTGCAAACTTCTGACTGAAATTATAAAACCCTCTGCAAGGGTATAATAAAAGCGTAATTCTGAACTGTCAAATTATTAATAGG